GGTGTTTGTTTGGGTTTAAACTGTTAGTAGATAGAGGTATGGGAATTGATTTGGAGGAAGGAGGTAATAAAAGTATGTGTTTGTGGGAGAAAGGAATTGGCAAAACGATCAGGGAAAGAGAAGGTCCGCAAAATAACAATTCACTTAGGGTATATTACACTAACAGTAGAAGTCTAAGAAATAAAATTAACGAATTAAATGCTCTTGTCTGCACAGAAAAAATAGATATTATTGCACTTACCGAAACGTGGATGAATGTAGAAAATAGAGAACTATTAGCTGAATATCAAATATATGGATTTAAACTATTTCACACAGATAGATATATTAGACGAGGAGGTGGAGTAGCCATATATGTTAGGGACAATTTGAAATGTAGTCTCAAAGAGGGAATCAAAACAGAGCCACACACAGAAACTATTTGGATTGAATTAAACGAAAAGCTAATAATATTATAATAGGAGTAATATATAGGCCACCAAATTAGACAGAATGGAAGCAAAGCATCTATGGGATGAAATATCTAGAGCATCTTGATCTAACAGTATTTATGTCATGGGTGACTTTAATTTTAGCGGAATAAACTGGTTGAACAAAACAGGGAATAGTGAAGCAGAAGATTTTCTAGAATTAATTGACGATTGCTTTCTTACGCAACACATTAAGGAACCAACACGGGAAAATAATATTTTAGATTTAGTGTTAACTAACAGGGAAACGCAAATTAATGACATCGAAATAGGGAGTGAGCTAGGGAGCAGTGATCACAAAGAAATCAGATTTAGCATAGAATGGAATAGACCAGTAGGAGAAAATTCTGTTAAAGTGCCAGATTTTCGAAAAGCTGATTTTAATAGCCTAAGAAATTTTTTGGGTCAAATTGATTGGAAAGGCTTGGGTATGGGGTGTGGGCCGGTCTTGGAGCGAGACATGAACCCAGCGATAGGTGACTTAAATGGGGATTTCGATGTGGATTCAATATATAACTTATTTAAGAATATTCTAAACAAAGCACAGGAACGTAGTATACCATACAAATTGAATAGATCGTATACTAATGACCCAAAGTGGATAACAAAGAATTTGAAGAACCTTATAGGTAAAAAGAGAGCTTGGTACAAAAGGATTAAAAATGGGAGGTCACTTTAGAACAGGAATTCGTACAACTGGTTAGAAATGTTAAAAAAGAGATAAGGAAAGCAAAAGAAACTATGAAGTTCGCATAGCAGGGCAAGCAAAGACAAATCCTAAAGGGTTTTTTTCAGTTATATCGTACTAAGACTAGGGAAAGGATAGGTCCATTAAAAACTGAGACAGGTCAAATAACAGATAGTGATGAAGAGATGAGTAGTATTTTTAATAAATATTTTGTATCTGTATTTACTAAAGAGGAACTTAACAATATGCCTTCAGCCGAACAAGTCTATGTGGGTGGGGACGAGGACAGGTTGACGAGTTTAGCAGTTACCAGGGAGGATGTTCTTAAACAAATAGTAAAACTCAAACCAAACAAATCCCCAGGGCCGGATGAAGTGTTTGCTAGGGTGCTTAAAGAATGCAAAGAGGAGCTTTGTGACCCACTGTCAACCATATTTAATAAATCAATAGAGTCAGGCAGAGTGCCAGAGTTTTGGAAAGTTGCTAATGTGATACCAGTTTTTAAGAAAGGAGATAGATCACTTGCGTCTAACTATCGACCAATTAGCCTAACGTCTATTGTGGGAAAGTTACTCGAATCTATAATAGCAAATAAAATTCGTCTTCATCTTGAAAAACATAAATTAATAATTGAGTCGCAACATGGTTTTATAAATGGCCGTTCATGTTTAACAAATTTGTTATCTTTTTATTCTAGCATTGTTGAGGCAGTTGATAGTGGTAAGGATTGCGATGTTGTATACCTTGACTTTAGCAAAGCTTTTGATACAGTGCCACATGAAAGACTGATTAAAAAAATAGAGTCTCATGGTATTGGGGGTGCTATATTAAGCTGGATTAGGGCATGGCTATACCAAAGGAAACAGAGAGTTAGTATAAATGGAATCAAGTCAGAGTGGGAAAATGTTGTAAGTGGAGTGCCTCAAGGCTCTGTCCTGGGACCTCTGTTGTTTATAATATATATAAATGATTTAGATTCAGGTTTGAGTAGCAACATTTGCAAATTTGCCGATGATACGAAAATCGGTAGGGAAATTAATTCGGAGGAGGACTCACTATCACTTCAAGTTGATCTAGATAGGGTTTTGAAATGGTCAAAGGATTGGCAGATGCAGTTTAATGCTGATAAATGTAAAGTTCTGAGGTTAGGTAATGATGATAGAGTTACAAGATACGAGCTAGATGGTGTTGTGATTGCGAAGTCGGATTGCGAAAGGGATCTGGGAGTTATGATTAGTAAGAATTTAAAACAAAAGGATCAATGCATAAATGTTCGTAATAAGGCAAATCGGACACTTGGATTTATAATCGCAGCGTTAGTAACAAGACACCTGGTGTGGTTCTCAAGCTATATCTTGCTCTAGTTAGGCCCCATTTAGATTATGCAGTTCAGTTTTGGTCGCCATATTATAGAATGGATATAAATTCACTTGAACGTGTCCAGCGTAGGATGACTAAGTTAATTCCCCAAATTAGAAATCTTTCATATGAAGAAAGATTAACAAAGCTTAAGTTGCATTCACTGGAAAGGCGAAGAGTTAGGGGTGACATGATAGAGGTTTACAAGTGGATGAATGGACATAACCGGGGGATATTAATAGGGTATTAAAGTATCAACACAGGACAGAACACGAAACAATGGATATAAATTGGATAAGTTTAGATTTAGGAAAGACTTGGGTAAATACTGGTTCAGTAACAGGGTTGTTGATTTGTGGAACCAATTGCCGCGTAACATTGTGGAGGTGGGGTCCCTCGATTGTTTCAAGCACGGGTTGGACAAGTATATGAGTGGGATTGGGTGGTTATAGAATAGGAGCTGCCTCGTATGGGCCAAAAGGCCTTCTGCAGTTACCTTTGTTCTTATGTTCTTATGTTCTTATGACGGTGACGGTACCAGGCGACCTTCTCCCAGCTCCTCCACCTGCGGCCGGCCTGGCGTCCGACCCCGCAACAGGCCCCACAACCAGTCCGGTAACAGGGACGCCACCCACACTGGCTACCCCTGCCAACGAAGACACCACATCCAAAGACGACAACGGACCACCCGAAACTCCCACAACAAACACCAAGAGGTTCTCCAGAGCCGCCACCGACGTCGATGAGAACGGCCTTGCGACTGACGACGACGAAAACAAAAATACTTGCCACCAAGTATTGCCATGTGCTGTTCATTCCGCCCAGCAAGTTCAATGGCAACGCACACACCAGACGAAAATTGGCCCACAGATGTAACAAGATAATCAGCCAGAACAAATACCCGCACCCCAAGTATGTTCCCGCCCACACCATGAACGCTTACACTGACCTCACAATACTGAAAAAAGAATACCACGACCCAGAATTCCACCGCAAATTCCCAGACGGACAAATGCAATTCCTCGAAAAGGACGACGATCCTGATGGTACCAAACTACCGAGGTTGCTCTGTTCAGATATTCAGCGTCTCTTTGCACATTACACTGCAACTTGCCAATAAGTCTCCTGCGGGGAAATAAAAACTGCGAGCAATCATAAAGATCCTACGGGATCACCATAGCCCGTGCTGCTTGGAACTTTTTGTTCCAAGTAGCGAATCTTAAACAACAACAACAACAACATAAAGATCCCATCCATCCACAAATCTCCATTACGGGCTATTCATGCCCGTGCCACCTCTTGGGTGGCTTAATCTTTATCAATCAATCATCACAAATCTCCAGTGTCCGCTATTGATACTGGTAATGGCTCCAAAGAGCCTTCACTTACGGGCTATTCATGCCCGTGCCACCTTTTGGGTGGCTTAATCTTTATCATCATCATTATCCTCTCCATCATTTTCAAAAAAAAAACACGAGGATAAGGACAGGTCTGTACTCTCCATTGACTTTAGGGATAGGGATATCCATAGCTTTTTTTTCATTTAAGTTACTCTATCCTCCCCAGGGGAGATAGATTTCCCAACTTTAATCGCCATTATTAGTTCATCTCTGGTAATACCTGTGCAAGTGACATCACTGTTACCTGCTGTAAGTATATAATCCTTTCTTAGATCTTTTCAATACAGTACTTGACTTTCCACGACAAGACACTTGGACTTGGCCAAAACAACGGAAACTCTTGGGCTGCCAGAGCAGGAAATGTCCTAAACAGACTACTTTTTAGCATGATTCATGATAGAGGAGGTGATCAACCACACCCCAAACTACATTTCTTCCCCACTGTGGGAGGAGCCCACCTTCAAAATAGTAATAGAAAGTCTCCCAATGAAAAAGGCTGCCTATGATCCAACAATCCTAAGGCCTATAATAGAAAAGCATATGTGCAGCATTGCAATAGCCGGAGCCACCCACATCTTCACAGGAGTTACAGCCCCGCTCCTGTGCCAGGTAAGTCCACTATGGGCTCACCACAGACACCACACTGTGTGTGTGGTGTCCTGTCCAGCAGCTGGACACCCTCATAAATACTGTCAAGCATTATCCTTCCCGCGATAGCAGCCTGACGATTAAATGCGACCTCAGCACACTGTATAGACTTACTGAACAAAAATTGTACCACTTACGGGCTATTCATGCCCGTGCCACCTCTTGGGTGGCTTAATCTTCATCAATCAATCAATCAGGATAAAGATTTGGGATGGGACGCTGGGAAGAAATGGTGTTAACCACTTGGAAGTTGGACAGTCCGAGATTGAACGTCGACCTGCATGAAGCAAGACCGTCGCTCTACCGTCCACCCCAAGTGGCTACATTTCTAACCTAACGACCTTAGAAGAGCTTCAAGTCCCCGAATCTTGCAGTAACCACCCTGAAGCCATCAACACTGCCACTCTTCTGATCAAGAAAAGGTGTCTAGCAGCCGGACACCCTCATAAATACTATCAAGAAGTATCCTACCCCGCATTCACTCCAAAAAAAGATCATGCCCGTGCCACTTCCTGAGTGGCTTACTCTTCGTCCATCAATCAATCAGTCCGTATCACTCAGAATGTACGGGTACGGTACGTGGCCCGCTAACGCTGCATACAAGACCGGCGTCCCGGACGCAGGCCCGGGAGGACTGAAGCCAGTCACGACCTGTACACGTGCTATAGTGGGTGTATTATCTCTCTCAAGGTTAGTAATGTTTTGTTTCACCATATTCACATTTTGATTGTAGCTATTTCAAGAACTGAATCCCCCCCCCCATATATGCAGTGTTATTTTGGCTTGGTATGGTCTAGCGAGCTACTTATACAGAAATGCTATATAATATATAAATAATGTGCCGGGCCGGAAACACGTATTCCCGTCAAATATCAAGCGGTGATCGATGGAACCATGTGTCACTTAACAATGTCTTGTCCACCTGCAGGGTCGTGTTTTTTTGTGTTTTATATATTCCTAATTGTCGCGGTCAAGGTGGTATAAAACCGCAGTAGTGGTCAAGTAAAAGCTACGCTCGAGGTCAATTAGCAATTAGTCAAAGCCAAGGTTGTTATCAAGCGTACGAACACTCAGGCGATATCTGCATATAAAACGCGCGAAAACGCCGATTATATTAAATGTAATTGTATAGTTACTATTAACTACAAAAGCTTAGAATAGAGGAAACTGTTAAAAAAACAATACGTAGCATGTTAACATTTCAAATGGCATAGTGTGACGTCACAAACTATGCACAGTGTGTATAGTAATATAACAAATTTTCAGTAATTTTGGTGAGCTTGTCGATGTAGCTTATATCTTGTAAAAGGGCACAGTCTATTCTTCGTTTGTAATAATTTAGAATGAGATTAGGTGTAGTTAAAAAAGAAAAGGTTGCATAAATGAACATACATTGTTGATTGTTTATGTGAATGATTGTTCTCATATTAGAGTTGCTATGGATTCAAAATGTATATTAATCTGTGCCCTCTCGAACAATATATAATGCATTTGAGAAACTCGCGGTACTGAGAAATTAGTGTTTTTATAGATATCTAAAACTAAAGATATGTTGAGCAACCGCTGGCTAGCGTAGTGACGTCATAACAATGACGTAGGGGTGGCGGGAAATTTAAACACTAAAACCCTACCCGAGTAATTATTCAATTAATATCTTTAATAATAATAATTCATTGTGTCGGGGGACAGGCAGCCAGAGTGTATTTATACGCGTTGAGCTTATATCGAGGTCCCATCCAAGGTCGAATTATTGATCCCACCCAGGATGCAACCCCACAGGAAGCTAACTCCTGAATACCTATTTACTGCTAGGTAAACAGAGGTATTAGGTGATAGAAAATGCACCCAACCATTTCTGTCCCGCCCGAGATTTGAACCCGGAATTCTCGATTGTGAGTCAAGAGTGAATCCGACTATACTACAGGGACCTTCATATTATAAAATTCTGTCCGTTTCTGCCCGAAACGCTGTGCTACTAGTGGCTTTACAAGAATGTAATTACTATGCTATGTATCCTCACAATCCCAATGTACCTTCTTGTATATATATAAATAAATAAAATAAATTATATATCTTATATATAATTTATTTAATATATCAATACAAAAAATTATTAACAAGCTTAGGTAATCACAGCAATGTGATGCTACCCTATTTTATATGAAGGATTACACAGCGTAGATAAAAAACTAGCTATAAGTTCATTTAATATCCTTATCTCACATGGATTGTTAGCCATACCTCAATGTACCAGGGCTTACAACCCTGCAAACCAAGCATGACAGGGCAGATCTTACATTCTTGTAAAGCCACTAGCATGCATAGCATTTCGGCCAGGTCTTTAATCATAATTTTTCCTGGAGATCCGTGAATAGAGGCATACAGTTAAGGATTGGTGCCTAGTCAATCCTTACCGGCCAGGATAAGAACCCAAGCCAAATTGCTCATGCGGAGCAAGTGTCTTACCATCACTACCACTGCGCCATCTCATTGAAACTTAAAATACTGAACAATTTGTATATTGATCCAGACAATTACATCTTCAAAAGGTCAGATGTAACATAAAAAGGAGCAATGGTGTCAAGTTTAACAAGGCACAATGTAGGACTAAAATCAGGAAATTCTTTTTCACCCACAGGGTTATAAACCCATGGAACCACCTACTTGACGAAGTCATAAATGCCCAAATTCTGTTACATTTTAAAATCCAACTGGAAAAAAATCATTTGGGCAAATGGGGAGATCTTTGACACGCTGCGGGCTTCCTGTCCTCGTCGAGCCCACTACTGTAATAAATACAGTTTTGATATTCCTAGAGTACGTCTTAATCAAACTAGAAATGCTCTACAAATCAAGGGGCCCAGAATGTGGAATGACCTTCCCAACAATGTTAAAGACTGTACCTCTCTCAACCAGTTTAAGTTAAAAGCGAAGCTATACCTAATAAATTCCCTGTAACCTACCTTACCCTTCTATTGTCAACCAATGTCTGTTTTTTTCTCTAAAGAGCGCTGTTTGTCGACATAATTGTATTTGTGCTGCTTTTTCATCTATGTTTTCATTTCTTGTTTTCATTCTACTCATTATGCTCAATTAGTATTAAGCTTGTCATTTAAGTTTATCATGCCCGAAACGCTTTGCGTAATAGTGGCTTTAGGCATTGTATGTACTAGCTCTACCTATAAGTCTACCAATCCTTGTAAAAATTTATTGTATGTATGTACCTTACCTAAATAAAATTGTATTGTATTGTATTATTGGCTCTCAAGTAAATTAATAATAATAATAAATGTTTATTTAGGTAAGGTACATACATACAAGAGATTTTACAAAGAATGATGGATTTATAGATAGGGCTAGTACATACAATGCCTAAAGCCACTGCTACACAAAGCATTTCGGGCATGAAAAAGTTAAATGACTAAAGCTTAATACTAATTGAATATAAAGAATAAAATGTGTTGAGAACAAATAAAAATAGAGATAAAAAAGGGAGGAACATGGCTGAAAAAGCAGCACAAATACAATTAGGTCGACAAACAGCATTGTTTAAAAAAAAACAGACATGGGTTTCAGGTAAATCAGGTAAATCTTAATTGAGGTACTACATAAATGTTAAAGCCAACATTAAATTTGTTGACAAATGTATGGAATAACATGTAAATGCTATTTTAAATTATAGATTCTTGGTGTAGACATATGTACTAATAAATAACATAAATAGTTTTTTGTCTTAATTGTGAAGAACTGTGATTAGCAGAGTACTAATGTTTGTCCATTTAGGTACAAAAATTAACCAACTAATAAAACCCAACAGAATCTTGGCGACTCTCGGGCTGCCTCTCGCTGGACAATTAATAATGTGTGCTGCTAGATCCCACCGCCATTACAGATCTACAGGTGAGGTATCAAGACCATGTTATCTATCCAGCCTTTTATCTATAAATCCTTCCCTCTATCCATTCATCCATTTGATAATATATTTTTCAGCCATCTTATTAATTTAACAAATCCCCCTTCCTTTCATTTATCCGTCCAATTATCCAGCTGCATATCCATTACTCCTATTATTTATTCAATTGGAAATAATACATTTACCCAGTCATTTATCCATCTGAATTTACCTGAGGGCCACTGCCATTAGTGGCTTCGATGAGGACAGGAAGCCAGTGGCTTGTCGAAGGTCCTCTCATTTGCCTTGATGTGGGGTGTGGCAATGATTTGTCAACCCTGTGGGTGAAAAAGCATCTCAGTCCTACATTGTGGCTTGCTGAACTTGAAACCATTGCTACTTGTTTGTGTTACATCTGACCTCTTGAAGAAATTGTTCGGATCAACATCCTCCAACTTTTTCAATATTTTAAAATTTTCAATGAGATCCACCCATTCATGCCTTTAATACTTATGTATCACTCTATAAAACTTTGTAATTTTTCTAAATTACAAAATGCATATTGAATAACATTTCATACATTATTAATTATTATCCCCAAAAATGGGGGATCTTTGACAAGCTGCTAGCTTCCTGTCCCTGCTGTGGCCACTAGACAGTTGGTGGTCGTCTGGTAAATCTAAAACTCCACACTCATTATCTTACATTATTAAGTAAGATGCTGTACAGATAAGCATGCGAACCTCCAGAGCACCCCACAACAATAAACCCTAAATGCCCCCAACCACAAGGCCTCACAGAGGAATCAAAGACCTGTGCACTACCCAGAGCAAGGCACACTACACAGTAGAATGGCCTCTCAGGAGCAAACTCAAGAGCAATGTCAGAGCATCGCCACTGGCCTGACAGCATGACCATCGAAATCATGCTGTCAGGGTAGGGACAATGTGAAATGAATGCTTATGGAAAGGCTGCCCTAAACACATGCAGCCCGAGACGAAGAAAAAACCAAGTCCATGCAACAAGCGAGGCTTGAAACACATGCTCGTTAAGCAGATACCAAATTTGGAAATATTGCTCATAGCAAACGGCCCCCACTAAAAGGAGTGGGACTCGCTAAAGCTGGTGACTTGGGTAGGACCGTTTTTGAGGACATCAATGCAAGGACTCAGGTTATGATGGTGTGGAAGCTGGAAGGTTCCAGTGCTGCTACCAACTGATAGCCAGGGTTCCAAAATATGGAATATTTTGATAGTAGATTTAGATATGGAATTGGAATAGTAGATCTCAAAGGTCCCAAAATATGGAATGACCTCACTAATCACATCAAAGACTGTCCTTCACTCAACCAATTTGAGAGAGAAGCTAAGAACTACCTGATAAACTCTATGTAACCTACATTATTTCTTAAATGTCAACCTATGTGTTGCTGTTATTTAACATTAATAACTGAACCTGTACTACTGATGTCATCTGCCATGTCAATTTTGCATAAAAAATTGTATTCCTTCTTTTTATGCTGTAAAATTAATATGTTTTGTTGCAATTTTTTGCTGTTCAAATCATCATATAATAATTGTCATTTTATTCATATTCATCTACTTCTATTCATTATTGTTATTTATCTCATTTAGTTTTAAGTCTAAAAGACTTTTCCCGTATATTATGGCCGAAATGCTCAGCATAGGCTGTAGGCATTGTACTTGCCTTACCCTCGTGAATCACACAATCTTCGTGTATCTTATGTAATGTACTTTTGCTTAAATACAAATTATTATTACTTTTATTATTATTATTATTATTACAGTATTAATTTTTCTTTTCAGGAAAAGACCAGAGAAAGAAGAATCATAATTTGCAGCAACAGCATTCTTTGCCCATTTCTACCTTTGCAAACATTCCCACTGTAGCATCAATGCATATCAGTGTACCTGCTCTTATACCCACATCTGTCACATCTTTACCACTGCCAAAACCTACAACTGTGCCTATCTTTTCTCCTACACCCATGCCCATACATACTCCAATGCCCAAACCTCCAACTGTACCTATTGTTACTCTCACATCTAATCACACTGTAAAGCCCAAACCTACAACTGTACCTATTGTTACTCTCAAATCTAATCACACTGTAAAGGCCAAAACCTCATCTGTATCTATTGTTTCTCCCAAAAACACATCTGTACCTATTGTTACTCTCATGCCCACATCCATACATATTCCTAAATGCACATCTGTACCTATTATTACTCACATGCCCACATCCATACATAATGCTAAATGCACATCTGCACCTAATGTTACACCCACATCCATTCACAAAAGTACTTTTAAGTGCAAACCTACATCTGTACCAAATGATACTCCCACACACACATCCACTCTCCAGCCCAAGCCTACACCTGTACCATTAGTCATGCCCATGCCCGCAGCTGCACCACAGCTGTTATCTACTAGAATACCTAAAAATGTGGTGAGTATTGAGCAAACAATGTTCTCTAGTTAAGTGAATGTAGCATTTGAAAATGTTTAATGCTAAAACTGCCTACCAGTTCTTACATGAATATTTAATATTGTGTTTTATATGAATTCTTCATATTTTTACCTGATTTAACTGAAGGCCACTATCACTAGTGGCCTCGACGAGGACAGGAAGCCAGCAGCTTGTTCAAGGTCCTCCCATTTGCCTTTATAATCTTTTCCAGTTTGATTTTGAAATTCATAAATCTTAACATTCACGGCTTTGGCAGGAAGGTGGTTCCATGTGTTTATTACCTGGTGGGGAAAAAAGCATCTCCTGTTCTTAATCCTGCAATGTGGCTTGTCGAGCTCGAAACTGTTGCTCCTTGTTTATCTCACATTAGACCTTTCGAAGAAATTTTTCGGATCAACATCCACCAAACTGTTCAGTATTTTAAACGTTTCAATGAGATCTGCTCTGTCATGCCTGGTTTGCAGTGTTGTTAGCCCTGTGGCCCACAATTGTTCCTAATACGAGAGATGACTTAGCTCTGGAATTATTTTTGTTGCCTGGTATTGCTCTTTCTCCAGGGCAGCTATATCCTTCCGAAGATGGGGTCTCCATGCTTGTATACAGTAATCCAAATGGGGCCACAAGATTTATACAATTGTATCACCACCTTTCCTTTTTTCCTTAAAATCAAAGGTACAGTGTATGCTTGATTATTCCAAGGGTTTGGTTAGCTTTAGTGATTACTGTTCCTACCTGTTGTGCAACTTTCAGTACGTGATGGATTCTGACTCCAAGGTCCTTTTCTTCATCACTGCTGCAAGGTGCCAAGGTCCTTTTCTTCATCACTGCTGCAAGGTGCCAAGGTCCTTTTCTTCATCACTGCTGCAAGGTGATATTGTCAATTTGGTAGGCATGATGTGGATTATTATATCCCACATGCAAGGGCTTGCATTTTCTATATTAAATAGCATTTGTCAGTCTCAGTCTTCTGACATGGAGTTTTTGTGGATCTCTTCATAAGGCTGTAATATAATTTTTGCTTTCCACTTTGCCATAAATCATAGTGTCATCTGCATTTTTAATTATGTGGTCTGTAATATTCTATGTCATTGATGTATGTACAGTATATGAAAAATGGGATATCCATAGGTGTATTCAAAGGCAAAAATGGTAAAAAGGCAAATGTAGTCTACAATTGCCTTTGACTGCTGTAGTCAAAAGGCTATATCAAAAAGGGACGTGGTTATAAATTATAATAATAATAATTTATTTACACAATAGACAGTACATTTGACAAGTGTTTATATAGTGGGAAAAGTAATTGTTTATTATATACAGCTGGTAAAATAATTTTGTTCACTACATTATACTTTTAGGTTGAATCTAATGGTTGAGGTGTTCTACAGGTGCGGTTCGTGTGTATCAGTGACACTCACAATAAAACTGACATTCTACCATTTCCTATTCCTGATGGTGATGTTTTGCTTCATGGAGGGGATTTCACTATCAAAGGAAAGCTACATGAAGCGCTGGTGTTCAATGACTGGCTAGGTAAGTTGTCAAAAGGTACAGATTTTTCTTATGATATACCGTACTGCAAGACTATTTTAGTCCTATAGTGCACTATTAAGATGGTAGTCAGTGATTAACTACTGATAAGATTGTCATTAAGGAAGCATTATTAATTTTGTGTGTTTTAAATGACCAGATTACTTTGTTACTTGACAGTTTACATATACTGTATAAGTTGATTTTAACATCTCATAGATATTTCCTTAAGTATTGCACAGTGGTTAGCATAGTTGCTTTATAAGTGATTGGTCTTGATTTGATTTCTGGACAGGGTCAGACATCTGGGCATGTTTCTTACACCCACTGCCTCTGTTCACCTATCAGTAAATAGGTACCTAGGAATTAGTTGACTGCTGTGGGTCATGTCCTGGAGAATGGTCAATCATTGGATAGAGGGATCTCAATATTCTTAAGAGGCTTCCTATCCCCAAAAGTGGGTAATTAAATGTCCATTTCATCACTCCTAAGTTACAACTGGGTCTATTCAAGCCAGCCTTAATTGTGAAAAAACCCCTTCACCGAGTTTCTGAATACCGTACTTTGATTAAGTGTAAGTTAGCTTTCATGCATTTCCAATGAGTGCCTGGCCTGCACTCCTTCTGGTCTTATTTGAACCAGACACGATCAGCTCATGGTGTGGTGACCATTAGTGTATGTTATAATTTAAAGTTTGTGTGGCTATGTATAGTTGTATGTATTTTATATAAACAAATTTTCAAAGGAAAAAGGGCCCCATATTTCACTGAATCAAAATGTCTGCAATTGGAAAAAAAAAAGAACCATAGACTTTTGTTTTAAATATCCTCAGAGGCTTTCCCAAGGCCCCCAACTATTTCTTGTAATGTTGCCTCCATCTGTGAACCGTGTCCCAACATCCTAGGCAAATCCACACATCCCCCTGCTTCAGTGAACTCTTATTCGTCAAAGTGGGCAAGTAATCCTGGCCTGGAAAGTGTGTTTTCCAACCAGAGATTCGCCCAATCGAGGTTCCACTGTACTAGGGAAGATAAGAAACTTAAGATGATTGTCATGCCTTTGAAGAAAACCTGGACAAAATAAGTGTATGGCAAATAGAATTTAATGTAAATAAATGCCACATTATGGGATGTGGAAAAGGAGAAAATAGGCCTCACACAACTTACAAATTATGTGAAAAAGCTTTAAATTTTTTTCTTTTAAAGATCATACTACAAGAGTTGTTACATTCTTGACAGCCATCTAGTACGCGTAGCGTTTCAGGCAGTGTCCCTGGAATACGATCCCCTGCTGCGAAGAATCGTTTTTTCCCCCAGGTACACATTTTACTGTTGCGTAAAACAGAGGTACAGTTAAGGAATTGAGCCCAGATAAATCCTCCTCGGCCAGGATACGAACCCATGACATAGCGCTCGCGGAACGCCAGGGAGTGTCTTACCCAACACCACGGAGACTGTTTAATGATGATAATGATGGTCATCTGATAGATGATTCTGATAAAGATCATCTAAGGGTGGTTCTAGATATAAAACTGTCATTTGAGGACCTCATAAAGAACACTGTGCAAGGAGCATATACACTTTCCAATTTCAGAATTTCTTTTAAATATAATGATGACAAAATACTAAAGGAATTGTTCACAACCTTTTTGAGACCAAAGTTGGAATATGCAGCAGTTATATGGCATCCATATCTTAAGATGTACACCAACAAATTGGAAAAGGTGCAAAGACAAGCAATTAAATGTCTTCCTGAACTGAAAGACAAGTGCTACAAGGCAAGGCTATAAATAAGTACAGTACTGTATAAACATTAAATATACCAAGGCTAAAAGATAGAATAAAAAAAGGGACAATATGATCACTGGCAACATCGTCACAAGTTTTATGTTGCTTCTACACAAATGCCAGAAGCCTAGTAAATAAATTTGATGTACAGGTATTGTGTACCTACACTGAGGCTGAGAATCCCGACATCACTGGCATCAGTAAAACATGGGGACGAGAGAACATTATAGAAGGGGAATTCCATCTCCAATGATATCATCCACAATTCAGAAAGGATAAAACAACAAGAGCAGGTAGTGTAAATACTATATTTTTTTTTTTTTTTTTTTTTTTTTTTTTTTTTTGAGATATATACAAGAGTTGTTACATTCTTGTACAGCCACTAGTACGCGTAGCGTTTCGGGCAAGTCCTTAATCCTATGGTCCCTGGAATACGATCCCCTGCCGCGAAGAATCGTTTTTTCATCCAAGTACACATTTTACTGTTGCGTTAAACAGAGGCTACAGTTAAGGAATTGCGCCCAGTAAATCCTCCCCGGCCAGGATACGAACCCATGACATAGCGCTCGCGGAATGGAATATGTAAAAGAAGGACCTGAATGCAACCCACCAATAAGAAATTGAACACCATGGGATCCTCAGAGTTTGTCTGGTGCAGCATACTAGCACAAGATGGTAGCAAACTGACAGTGGGAGTATGCTACAGGGCATTTCAAAGCATTATGTGACAGAGTGCGGGGAAAACAGGACACCACGAGCGTAGCTCTCATCCTGTAACTACACTTGAGTAATTATAACACTTCTAGTGCATTTGCTTGAATAAATCTTTATACAAACTGCACATTAAAAGAAAAAAAAAGTTTGTATTGCTCTAACTCACCAAGGATAAAACTTCCAAAATTAATTAGATGTAACAAATTTTAGTACAATTGTAGAATAGAGTATTATTAAAAATGCAATAGGTACTGTACAGTATTTGGCATTTGAGATTTGACAGAAAAAGCAGGATATTTATTTATTTATTTATTTATATATATACAAGAAGGTACATTGGGTTTGTGAGAATACATTGGATAGTACAGTATTTACATTCTTGTAAAGCCACTAGTACGAGCAGCGTTTTGGGCAGGTCCCAGGGCAGATATATAATAAAGTGGATGAAAATTTACTCTAAATACAGTAGATCTAAACAAGTTACTTTTTAAAAATAGGCTAGCAGTGCTTTTAATGCTTTGTATGGTTAGCATTGTCTTAAAACAATGCCTAACCATATGTCTTAAAAGGTACTAGCCATTTGAATAATAATTTTCCTAAATTTAGGATGATTTTAATTAATGTCAAATATTGAAAATACTGTATGTAGAAACAAATGCTTGAAGCTATGCATAAATGTATACATTTCCTCAGGTCATTTGCCCCACAAACACAAGGTAGTGATTGCTGGCAACCATGATAGACTTTTCGACAAGAACTTCAAGCAGTTTACAGCCGACTCTAGAAAGGTGTTCACAAATGCCATCTACCTACAGGACCAGCACACATCCATATACGGCATCAAAATCTACGGTGCACCTTGGTAAGAATTAACTTAATGGGGCAATTTATACAGTATTTGATAAATTGCAGAATTTGGTAATGAGTACTTGTTCAGTCTCTTATTTAACCTAACAGATACTTCAGTTATTATATCAGTAAGAAAATGGAGAGAACAACCACTCTTTAACTCATAATACAGTATGTTTCACGAAGATTATTTTCGCTTCTAATCCATGTTTTAGAACAATATTAAGTGTCCTTTCTTAATTAAATGCTCTTAATGCAATCATATTTAATACTCAGTTGATGAAACCATTCAAATTACTTTATACTGGAGGGGTCATTTGATGGCTCTCAGGGGGGTCAGCTTGGTGGGCCTCAGGGGTCAGCTTGGTAACCCTCAGTGGTCAAATCGGTGGACCTTATGGGTCAGATTGCTGGCTCTCTTGGGTCAGTTTGGTGGTCCTCGGCAATATAGTCATAATGGCTTAGCATTTTTTCCTGGTTATTACTTTACCTTACTTTAGTAGTCCTCAGGGGTCTGCTTGGTGACCCTCATTGGTCAACTTGGTAGCACTTAAAGCTTGGTGACACTAATAGTTCTTGGTGCTTAACCGAGCCATGCTTTACCCATGTTGTCATTTTTATGTCTTTCTCTATATTGTGAATGTCATGTTCCTTTAACACCCTGCATGGTGCCCCTCAAGAGCAAAACTAATTACACTATCATCATTATTATATGATTTATATATGATTATGTTAGCCAATTACAGTATCAGTATATAAATTGTTCTGTAACTTTAATTAGTTTTATGATTATTCTTAATTTTAAAAAGTTAAGAAAAAAACATTAAGCATTTCGTTGTTTAAACATGCCTACGTTTCTCCCCAAATGCAAACTGAGAATTAGTTACTGTACTATAATATCACTGTAAAACATCAGCTTCTTGCATCCCAGCATCTGTACACTATTTATTCATGAATGCAATACAGTTTTAAACTCATAATATCATTTGTATGAGGAAAATAAGTCACAATAACATGGGTGAAATAAATAATCCAATGCACACATGAAATAAAAGGGTTGCTTTCATTTCATGTGTGTGTGTGTGTTGCGTTATCAGTTGTATACTTTTAAGAAATCTTACTACATAACATTCTAATCATACACTGTACTGTTTTTAATTATTACTTTAACATCTACTGAAAAAATGTAATTTATGAACTTGTCATAACTATTATACAATGTACGTTTTTCCAAAAATTCCACTTACCTGTATAAAGTTCACAAATAAATGCATTATTATTTTTATAATGTACTCTATTACAGTGTTATATTACATTATTCATTATTAAAATTTGTCTCAGGACTCCCGAGTATCACAACTTGGCCTTCAACTTGCCTCGAGGACAACCTTGTCTTGAGAAGTGGTCACTTATCCCAAAAGATACCGATATCCTCATGACGCATGGACCACCATGGGGCCAAAGAGATTTTACAAAAGGAAAGCAACATGTTGGATGTGAAGATCTACTGGCAGTTGTACAAAATAAAGTTATGCCAAAATATCATGTGTTTGGCCATATTCATGAGGGTAAGTTTGTATACACTTGACAGTTATGATTTTTCCTATTGCATATTTTATCTGTATCATAATCACAAAAAATTGGATTTTGTGTATAGATAAAATTCTGTGATCAGCCTCTATGTACCAAAAATATATACAGTATTACAGTATATATCCAGTGTATATTTTTATTTGAATTTATTATTCAAATAAATAATTCAAAATAATTGTCACCAAGATGGTGGTAATTATGTTAATGTGAAGGTATATGTTAGGCCCCATGTTGGGCAGACAGATCTAGGCCGTGTGTTTAGTTGGTGTCATGTGGATTTTTGCTGAAGGTGGTAAGAGGAAAGGAATATTTTTATTCAGTGATTTGAAGTGACCAGACAAAGCTGATAACTATGGCTCAGTTTCTAATAACTATGTGGCTATTTCTATGGGGCTTGGCAGCTGAGTGGACAGCACTTGGGGTTCATAGTCCTAAGGATCCGGGTTAAATTCTTGGCGGAGGTGGAAACAAATGGGCAGAGTTTCTTTCACTCTGATGCATGAGATGAAATATAGACATTTACATACCACAGAGTCTATCACAGATTAAGAAAGTAATTAGAAACAGAGCAATGCAAAAGATGTACCGTGACCACAACACAGCAGTTGCAACATCAGGATCTGCAGGTTGGTACAAGTATTCAACCAACTACGAACCACTTAGTTTGATGAAAGGGAGCAGTAGAACAACTGAAGTACACTTATATCGCAACAGGCTTGGATACTCATGTGCATGGGAAATAGGCTTACAGGTTCCGGAAGATGAGAGGAAATGTCAGCACTGTGGAGAAATGCCCAACAGACCACTGGAACATCATCTAACACAGTGCACAGTTACAAACCCATTAAGATTTCAACTTAGATTTAACAGAGCAGAAGAAGTTGTTAAACACATGGAACAAAAATCTTACTGAAGCGACCATACGAGTCATAAATACTCATACTCTGCCCAAGTAAAACAGAAACAAGCAACACTTAGTGGGGCCAGCCAGAGGCTTAGGGCCCATGCAGGAATATCCCTGCAAAAAAAAAAAAAAAAGAGTTAGCAGTAAATAGGTACCTGGGAGTTAGACAGCTGCTATGGGCTGGTTCCTGGGGGAGGGGTGTGTATATATGAAAATTAGGATTAAGGACTTGCCCAAAATGCTGTATTCACCTAGATGTGCTTGCAGGGGGTTGAGCTCAGCTCTTTTGGCCCACCTCTCAACTGTCAATCAATCAACTGTTACTAACTATTAATTTTATTTTCCACACACTCATCCCCAGGAAGCAGCCCATAACAGCTGTCTAACTCCCAGGTACCTATTTACTGCTAGGTAACAGGAGCATCAGGGTGAAAGAAACTCTGCCTATTTTGTCTCTGCCATCACCGGGAATCAAACCCGGACCCTAGAATTACGAGTCCAGAGCGCTGTCCACTCAGTTATCAGGCCCCACATTGATATTGTGTGCGCTAGTGGCTGTACAAGAATGTAAAAACTCTTGTGTACAGTATATACAATAAAAAAAAAGTGTGTTGCTCTATTTCTATGCGACTATATTTCAAACTATTTAACTTATGTCCATGTGGCTCTTTTTCTTGCTGCATGTTATTTGCTTCTTTTTCTTTTCTCATTGCTCAGGTTATGGCATGACCAAGACTGGCAGAACAGTGTTTGTGAACGCTGCCATGTGCAATATCCACTACAAGCCCATCAACCCTCCAATCGTATTTGACCTGCCTCTTCCACGAGGATATACGAAAAATTAATGCCTTCTATTTTTGCTCCTCGGATGAACATATCTACTTCCTTGTTGATGATTTGAGTATTATTTATTATTTTATTTGATAATTATCTGAAGTTTGAGTACTGTACCAATATTTATAAATGGTGGATATGCATACATTTTAGCAGTAATAAAGTTGTATATTTTACATGATGTATTTTTGTCTGTCTTTGTATGCTTAAAATAAATATACAATATTAGGCCTTTATGTTACTATACTTGTAGTTCAGAAATACCTGAATAGGGACATCTTAATTTTAGAAATTGTCCCTGCAGCTAAATTAATCATTGTTTATAATTTCTGTAATTTTATTCAAACACAATATCCAATTAATTTTGTTTAAAACACTAACAGTACTGGTATAATAAATTTTCCTAATTACTGTACCATACTTATATATCCAATTTAAAAAATTAAATGGTTTGGTTTGTGATTCTGGTTCTCACAGTCACGGTCAGAATCCAAAGAACCACTCGAAGCAATAAACACAGCCAGTGACTATGTGATCCTTGAACCGCCACACAGAAAAAGAAGAATCACTAACAAAGAGTGATCAGACCTTCCCGAGACCTCAAATACGAAGCGGCCTGCCAGAGGACCCAGATAAGTGGACTATCCCAAACCTGATTTATACCTTAAAAAAAATACAACCAAATCAACAATTTTTGTTCTGCAAGAAGCGCAATTAGCATAGTGTTGCTAAGATAAGCCTCCCGAAGTCAACACCACTGACTAAAAGGTTACCAAACACCAGCTAGGACACACTAGCCACCTCATGCCAACCCATTATGGATAGGCCATCGAACTTTCAAACCTCTCTCAACACACAAAATCCTCTTCCAGAATTTCACTTTCCCATCCCATCCTTTCCAAGCCTTCTAGACATCAAAGTGAAGGTTATTTGGCACTTTATGATTTTTGGGCTACTATTTTTCATTGGCTTCATCCCGTTATTAAGCCCATTACAAATGCCCACTTCAGAGCTAGCTTCACCTTGTAATGGGCTCATTACAAAGGCTCACTTCACTGCCACTTTTTAAAATCATATATATGAACATTGGTACATTGGAAATACTGTATTTCTTCTCTGTGTTGTCATATACAGCACTTGCATGTATATTGATATATACATGCAAGTACTTGCATGTATATTCAACTGTCATGCACAGTTCACTGCAGTTTATCATGTAGTTCATTTATTATGTACCCTATATCCATCCTGTGGGCAGGTGATCTACTTTTTGTAATTCGACCTTATCACCTAATGAACCTGTTCACCTAGCAGTAAGTACTCAAGACGGACGAGAAGCGGTGTTCTCAACGTGGTATGGCCGTTGGCATAGGTACTCAGGAGTTGGTCAGCTTGTTGCGGAGTTGCATCCTGGGGATTAGTAATTCGACCCTGGGGCTGATCTCCATATAAGCCTAACATAAAATAAATAAATAAAATAAAATGTTTATTCATGTAAGGTACATACATACAAGAGATTTTACATAAATTGATCGATTTATAGATGGAGCTAGTACATACAATACCTAAAGCCACTATTACGCAAAGTATTTCGGGCAGGGAAAAACATTAATATATACATGTAAAAAAACATATATATATATATATATACGCTGGTTGCCTGTCCCCTGACACAATGCATTATTATTAATTATTATTTATTATATTTTTGTCCCAACCTAAAATCGAACCTGGGATTCTGATAGAGCTAAAGCTGATCCTGAAGCTTTTCAAATATTTAACAATTTAGCGGGTATTAAGCCAGACAACATCTTTACAAGAACAAATATAACATATATATATATAATACATATATATATATATGTTATATACATATATATAACACGTTGGGTTGTTTGTGGACCTGCGTAAAGCTTTTGACACTGTCAACCACGAAAACCTTCTTCTTAAATTACATCATTATGGAGTCAGAGGACACTCCCTACAATACCTCAAATCCTACCTTACTGACAGGCTCCAATATGTTTCTGTGAATAATACAATTTCTCCCACCCTACCCATCAACATTGGTGTTCCCCAGGGCAGCATACTTGGCCCTCTCCTCTTTCTCATCTACATTAATGACCTTCCAAATGCCTCCCAACACCTTAAACCAATTCTATTTGCTGACGACACAACCTTCATTTACTCCAGTCCTGATCCCCTTGCTCTAAATGCCACAGTAAATACTGAGCTAAATAAAGTCCATCTGTGGCTAACTGCCAACAAACTCACCCTTAACATTGACAAAACCTTTTATATTTTGTTTGGCAATAAATCCTCTAATCAAATAAATCTCAAAATAAACAATACCCAAATTTGTAACAAATTAGATGGCAAATTCCTTGGCATTCTCATTGACCACAAGCTTAATTTCCAGGGACACATTCTAAACATATCAAAAAAAGTTTCAAAAACTGTGGGCATTCTTTCTAAGATCAGATATTATGTACCACGCCCTGCCCTGGTGACTCTCTATTACTCCCTTATCTATCCATATCTCAACTATGGTATTTGTGCTTGGGGCTCTACTACCCAAAATCACTTACGTCCTCTAATTACTCAACACAAAGCTGCTATTAGGACAATATCCAATTCTGGCCCCAGACACCACTCGGTACCCCTACTTAAATCTCTTAATATGTTAGACATTAAGTCACTGCACATTCTCTCATGTGTATTATACATATATAAAACGCTAAACTATAATGCCAATCCTGATCTCAAAAGCTTCATAGAAGGTTGTATCAGAACCCATGAGCATCACACCAGAAATAAATACAGTTTTGATATTCCTAGAGTACGACTTAATCAAACTAGAAATGCTCTACAAATCAAGGGGCCCAGAATGTGGAATGACCTTCCCAACCATGTTAAAGACTGTACCTCTCTCAACCAGTTTAAGTTAAAAGCGAAGCTATACCTAATAAATTCCCTGTAACCTACCTTACCCTTCTATTGTCACCAATGTCTGTTTTTTTCTTTAAAGAGCGCTGTTTGTCGACATAATTGTATTTGTGCTGCTTTTTCATCTATGTTTTCATTTCTTGTTTTCATTCTACTCATTATGCTCAATTAGTATAAAGCTTGTCATTTAAGTTTATCATGCCCGAAACGCTTTGCGTAATAGTGGCTTTAGGCATTGTATGTACTAGCTATACCTATAAGTTAAACAATCCTTGTAAATATTTATTGTATGTATGTACCTTACCTAAATAAAATTGTATTGTATTGTAAATAGGAGGACGTTTGACAAGCCGCAGGCTTCCTGTCCCCCACCAAGGTCATTCGCGAGATGGTGGCCCTCATATAGAATAGAGTAGCAGCACTATCATCAGAGTGGGTGAAAAGTCACCTCGACACCCGCTTATGACAACTTCAATTTACAGAGTTCTCTGCTATGTCGGCTCCTTTGAACTTCTGTTTTTTTTTTTCCTTGTGTGCCGTACGAGCTTTTTTCACGGGCCTACGGCATTACAGGAAGCTGTCGCGGCTCGCTGCCTGACGCAAAATAAATACATACGTCTTTGCATATTCGTGTTAAAAAAGAGTGGAAAGTAGTTAATATAACTATGGTTTTCCAGTGTCTGCGACAGGAAGCCTAGTTATTATGATAATCGAGGTCCTCCTAGGCCAGCTACTAACCTTGACCAGGAAACAACCCACAACATTATTTCTAATGTCTGTATGAAACTATTTTTGCAATGTCAAAGTAGTTAACAGGTGGAATGCATTAGGCAGTGATGTGGTGGAGGCTGACTCCATACACAGTTTCAAATATAGATATGACAGGCCCAGTAGGCTCAGGAACCTGTACACCAGTTGATTGACAGTTGAGACGCGGGACCAAAGAGCCAGAGCTCAACCCCCGCAAGCACAACTAGGCGAGTACAACAGTTTGCGTAACTCATATTTTCTGCTTGATGAATAGTGACATCATTGCCCAAATGTCTCTGTCCTTCCACAAGAATCAAACCCGGGACATCAGGGTAGTGAACCGACTGCACTACAAGATCCCTGCTTTAGTTGTGGAGAAATAATGTAATTAGTGCTTTACTTTATATAATATATAATTTCAGTACCTACAATTTCACCCATGTAACATATTCCCCCCCCCCCCCCCCCTCCCCCCCCCCCCCCCCCCCCCCCCCCCCCCCCCCCCCCCCCCCCCCCCCCTCTCTCTCTCTCTCTCTCTCTCTCTCTCTCTCTCTCTCTCTCTCTCTCTCTCTCTCTCTCTCTCTCTCTCTCTCTCTCTCTCTCTCTCTCTCTCTCTCTCTCTCTCTCTCTCTCTCTCTCTCTCTCTCTCTCTCTCTCTCTCTCTCTCTCTCACACACTACTTCTCTGAGAGAGAGAAACAACAGTTACTACTTCTAATGCAACAACTAGTGCAACAGTTGCAGAACACAAGTCCCAGTAACGTGTCTGGGAACAATAAACACTAAACGCAGCCATCCGCGATGTAGTGAAAGAAGGGGGGAGGGGGCGACGCTCCCTGGACCCCTCTCCAATCGTACTGGAAATGGTTAAGGCCCAACACAAGTCTCATACCCATTCACCTCTGTAAATATGTGGGCTGAGCGGTTACCCGCTGGCCAAACACATGTTTGAGTAATGTGTAATCAACGTTGATACACTCTTAATACGTCACGGGCCCAGATTTCCCCAGATTTCCCCAGGGATTTCCCCAGTAGGGGTAACATGACCATTATTACCATCGTCCGCATGGTATATTTCTGATACTATGACCGCCGCTGTTACTTGCTCCACAGCAAACATGCAGCTTCTCACATGCCAATTTCACCAGCAGCTGATGTTATTCGTCCTCAACTTTCCTTGAGGAAAATGGAAAAACATGCATGTGACTATTTCCATTTGCACTTGTCACCTCCTTCGTTTGTCCCAGATGGAGGGGGGGAAGAGAGGGAGGGGAGGGAGGGGAGGGTAAGGATGGTGGAAGGCAGAGGTGAGAGGGAGGGAATAGTGGAAGGGAGGATGGGGAAGAGAGGCTAGTGGGGAAATGGTAACAGGAATGGGAAAGTGTGGAACGGAAATTTTGGAATTTTCTCTGTATTTACGCGGCTAGTCACCATTTCTGGCGTCTGGGGAGAGGAAATGAAGACGGAAGCTCGCGCAAAGTGGGCACGATATCCAAGAGAATTCAACAGTGTAGATTCAACGTTAAATTAACG